CTGACTATACAAATTTTATAAGTGGATGTTAATCCATCTTTTGTTTTAAAACAAGCACATAGTGCTTTCCATTTAAGATGTTCTACATGACAAGTCACTTGGAGATCTCAGATGGATAATATGTAGCCACATTTTGCAGTGATCTCTGATTGCAATGGACAAACATATGCAGGTAGGATCTCTCATTTTGGAGGTGAGGCCCAGAATTAAGACCTGTCACATAAAACCTAGAATAGATTTAATATAAATTAAAAACAAAGAAAACAACCTCAGATTCCCACTCCAAACCTGGAAAACAGAAACTCCCAAACTACCCAAATACTATCATTGACCTTCCAATTTTATTTATTCACTCTGCCCAAGATGGCTTTCACTGCCTGACATCTCCAAGACTCTTTATCCATAATTTATATAAGACCAGGCCTTTGCTCGCATAAGTGAAGACTCAAAGAAAGGAAAGCAGGAGTGCAGAACCATCCTTTTGACAGGAAGTCTGAAAGCTTGAAACACAAATCCAAGCTTTCCACCTGCTCCAGAAGCTTGCTTTACTCTTCTTGACTTCTTGCCTGTATATCTGGAAATTGGGAAGAAGTGGAGGGGATGTTGGACATCTCCCCTCTTTGAATTTGCTATACAATCAGTCCTGAATGGATGCTAGTATAGTGCTGTATTTCTCATGTTGCTTGTCAGGCAGTGAGTACTGTAATAGGTAATCTACAAGCTGTGTACCCTTTCTCCCAAGACACTGTAGCAGGGAAAAACATTTTGTGTTGCTAATTATGACCCTCTTTCACTTACCTTGGATTAAACCATTTTCTTACAATTCCATTCCTAATTTCTCCTCTGCATTATCTTTTAAGGCAGTGGCCCCCAATCTTTAGAGCACCAGCGACCAGTTCTGTGGTAAGCAGTTTTTCCACAGACCGCTGGGGCCGTGGTTTTGTATGCTGCCTGCATCCGATGGATGGGGCTTCACTTGTTTGTGCGGCCTGGTTTCTGGCTTCCCATCTAATATCTTAACCACTACACCAAACTGGATTGAGACCTTAACAGCTTGAAATGAAAAGAATATTGTGACAGTATAGGATGGAAAACACTACAGAATTTTGATGTGGATAAAGCCCCACAGCAGAAACTACATTAACCAGATCTGACAGATTCAAATGGAAACTCCTCTGGAAATGGGTAGAAAAACAGACTTTTACTCGATTCAAGATCGTTTCTAGATAATTTGCCATTTACAGGACTGGCATCCAGTAAAGTGAGCTGCTGCTTATGAAATGTTATGTCTTTTAATAAAATGTTTAGTTAGGTCCTGATCTCTCCTCTATAAGATCTCTACTAAACTTTCTTTCTTTCCTTTTGTGGCACAGATAACCTGCCTGTGATAAGTGTCTAACTTAGTTTTTCATATATTTGGACTGACAGTCTATTAAGAGGGTTTATACTTCTGACTTTTAGCTAATGTGGATCTGCTTATCTACAAAATGCAGAAATGTTACTTACAAAAACAAACAAGAAATCAGCTACTCCTTTTAGACTTTTTCTGCACACAACTTGTCTGAAACTCTCTAAAACCCAGGGGTAATTATCCCAAGCAATGTTGACATACAGGCATGGATTGTATCAGTCTCTGGATCAGTGCTCTGCTGTTTAAGTGCTCTGCATTCAAGGGAATATGGGGTCCTTTTATTGAAGAAGCTAGAGTTTCTTTCCTTGTAAAGTCAAGTCAACAACTGGAAAACGAGTGTCTTCAGTTCAGCTTCATTGCTTCACATGAAATTTCTATAGTGCTCCAGCAGACCTCCATGGATTACCAAAACGCACACCAGTCAGTATTGATATTGTAATAAGTAAGTCTCGGTTAAATAGATTCAGTAGCACACACATTTCATTTACTATTTTTTCCTAATTATTGTTTGGGGTTTTTTTTTATCCTCATCCATAGTCTGAGGGCAATAAGCTCAACATCCCCTCAAGCTCTGAATATTTTTTAGGGTACAAAACATTTTGAGTTCAATTCCTTAAACACTATCTTTAATTATACAACAGGGGCAGAACAATAAGATTTTGGTATTTAAATGTGGACAACTGAGATTCCTACATTTCTTCACAGACTGGCTTTATTCCCCAAGCCTTGAGTTTAGAGTAACCCATGGTTTAGTTAATCACTATTGACTGGATTCATGCCACTAGATTCATGCAAACTGGATTCATTCAAACTAAACCATAAATCTTTACATATAGACCATACAGCAAACCTAGCCATAATGTGGTTTCTTTGGCTTTGATTAAGTTTTAGGCAAACCCAGCTAATAGCAGAATTCAGTTAAACAAATATGGCTTGCATAGAATGGACTGTAAATATATTAAGCCAAAATAGAAGAAAAGATTATGTGATTGACTATATTTACTTTATCTGATCTTACAAATTTGCTGAAGGTAGCATTTTTCATTTTGACTGAACTACTGTGAAAATTGGTTGTCCAACATATCTGAAAGGATACCCAATTGGAAAAAAGATCTTGTAAGGCTCAGATCAGGAGGTCACCATGAGAGCCCCCCTCTGAGTAAGAGGCCTTTTTTTGTTAGTTTGAAATCTTTTTTGTGTATTGCAACTGCAATAATAATAATAATAATAATAATAATAATAATAATAATAATAATAATAATACAGTTGGAAGGGATCTTGGAGGTCTTCTAGTCCAACCCCCTGCTCAGGCAAGAAACCCTATACCATTTCAGACAAATGGCTGTCCAGTCTGTTCTTAAAAACTTCCACTGTTGAAGTATTCACAACTTCTGGAGGCACTGATTAATTGTTCTCATTGTCAGGAAATTTCTCCTTAGTTCTAAGTTGCTTCTCTCTTTGATTAGTTTCCATCCATTGCTTCTTGTTCTGCCTGCTCACAACATTCGTTTTGCACATGGAAATAAAAATTAATGTATGCAATAAAATAGCCCAATGAAAAGAAAGAGAAGACCTCTGCGTTAAAAAATATATATGACAATTCAATCCACTTATTATCACTTTCCCCATTATCACCTTTTCCTCCCATCAGTATTTTCCCCTCCCATGTTATAAATCCTAGCTGAAACAGAGAAAAATGTGATATTAAAAAGAAAACAGAAAAAACTGATATAAAAAGGAGACTTTGCTAGAGACAATTTATAAACCTATACCTAATAATACTTATAACTTGTAAGTACAAGATGCCAAAACTGAAAGTAAAAAGGTAACTTTTTTTTTAATTGTGCTTAACTTGGGGGTTTCATAGGTAGCCCAAGTTTTTTGACAACAATATGGAAATGGTTTGCCATTGCCTTCTTCCGGTAATTTTTTTTTTTAAATCTTCCTTATATAGTCTACATGGTATTTTCCAATGGCCTTCCATCTAAATCAAGGATTTAGATGGGATGCCATTAGCTTTTTTTATATAAAGGGTTTACTTAGCTTTTTTTTAAAAAAAGTTTCAAACATCTTTTATTTCTTGAACATGAAAGGCAAGTCTAAAATATATATAAGCAAAAAACCCCAAAACATTTCCATAAAAATGTCTCTTGGGGCAGTGAAGGTAAAACTAGTGGGCCAGAAAGCTTTTAAGGAAATGTAGAGTCAGAAAGGACAGCTAAACAGAAAGAACAACTGGGTCTAAAAATCTAGAACTATCCTAGTTGAGTCCAGCCAAGGTCAGGTAAGGGCTGCCTGCAATTGTGGCAGATCACAAGCATGCCAACTACTTTTGCAGTTGTGAATTCAACCCTCCTCGGGGTTAAAATATGATTCAGCATATCATACAAACTAAGAAAAATGGGTTGAGAAACCATGATTGTATCCATTGTGAATAAGCATGTCCTATGAAAACAGTTGCAGTGAACTATGAAGGTACATGCATGATTGAAATGTTTTCCTAGAAAATTCTGATTTCTACATTGATTTTATTTTCTATATGTACTTTTCAGTTGCTGTTTCTTTTTAACATCAGTTAAAATGTAGTGTGTGCCATTTTCTTGATAACCCCAGTTATTTTACTAGGTTAGTTAAAATGTAGTGTGTGCCATTATCTTGATAGCCCCAGTTATTTTGTTAGCTTGGAGAATGCAGCATGAGCATCTACTCTGAGTGAGAGAGAGAGAGAGAGAGAGAGAGAGAGAGACCTTTTCACCTCAGAATTAGGCTACCAAATTGGAGTTACAAGAATTCAGAGGATTATTTGATGACAAAAAAAAAAAAAAAAAAAAATGAGGTAGAATTTCCTCCTTCAACTTTGCTGCCTTGGATTGGCTTGTCCTGTGTTTTCCCCTTTAGTAAGTCCTCATTTCTAGAGACAAGCACCACAATGAGTTACTAAGCGCTCCTTCTGCGACGCTTCATGTATCTGCTCCGTTAATTCCCACCACCACAGACGAATTGTTTTTCTTTTTCTTCGAGGAAAAAAAGCCTACTGAAAGCACACGATTTTAACCTTAGAGGTGTGCCGAAGGTGGAAAGAGAAAACGGTGCAAGTGGGGGTAATCCTTCTTCCAGCTCAAAATAATCAATCGCCCATTTGCTGGGCAATACCTAGTGGTCCGCTTACTTTCAAGATTAAAGTCTCCAGAAGGCAGTTAAGTTATTTTCATATTCGATCAGTCGTTCTCTCAGGCTGTCTCCTAGCTGCATCGGCGGTACGGTAAGTCAACAGATTTCTTCTTCTTTTTTTTTTTATGAGAGAAAGGATGAAATCTACTCGGTTCTATTGGGAAACAATGCCACAACCCCCGGCGCGCGCTGTGCGTCCGCTCCCCCCCCCCTCCCGCACTGCCAAAGCGCCCGAGCGCGAGACCACATTCCCCGAACACAACTCGCGCTTCCCACTCTCCCGGAAACCCAAGCTGCTGAGGAAAAGAGAGAGGAGGCGACCACGGGGGTCCTTCCTCCGTTGATTGGTCCGCACCTCCGGCTCCCTGAGAGCTGAAAGAGACGGCGATTGGCTGCTCGCGCCTGTCAGTCGCCGAGGGCCAAGTTCCATTGCTGGCTGGGCGTGCGGTGGGAACTGCTGCTGCCGCTGCTGCTGCTGCTGCCGCGGCGGCTGGTGCAGCTGCGGGAAGCTGGCTGGCTGGCTGTGAGGCTGCCGATGGCGAAGTGATGCTGGCTATATGGAGACTCGTGCAGCGCAGAGGCTGCAGGAAGACAAAGGCTGGCTACAGGAGCTGGAGCTCCGCTGAAGCCTCCGCGCCGCTAACCAGGCGAAGGCAGCCCAGCCCCATCGGTAAAGGTTAGCTCCGTGCACGTTACCCGCCTCTCGCTTTGTGTGTATGTGTGTGTGTGTGTGTGTGTGAATACGCGCGCGTGTACGTGATGGGTCGAATCCTTCAAGCGGTGCGTCCGTAGATCCCGAAGGGCTGGACTCCCAGCGACGCAGGGCAAGGGATCAGCTCTCTACGGGAGGAGGGGGGGGCGTTGTGTAGAAGCGGGGCGAGCGAAATGGCTGAGGCTCCGGCGTGGGACTTAAGTCAGTGGTGACCGCTGCCGGCCATGTGCACCTGAAGATTTTTCCCACACACACACACTTCGCGAGCCAACTGCCTCCGGCATTCTCTTGGTCTCGGATGCCCTTCAGGAAGCCTCGCTGCAGAGGAGTGAGATCCAGGCGAGCGCCGCCGCGCTCAGCCCGGGCGAAGCGAATCCGCACCAAAGGGGGAGGGGGGGAATCAAAAATCCAAGAAACCGGCCGATTAAACTTTATTGGCCTAATTAAACGAGGCTCGGCTTGGAAGGCGGCGAACCTCGGATGTGCGATGCCCTCGGCGCCTGGCAGTAGAGAGAGAAAGAAGACATGGGGGGGGGGGAGGATGCGCTTCCCGCCGAGCTGAGGGAGAACCTAAGCTGAGCGCTGCCTGCTCAGGTGGAGAGGCTGAGGTGAGTTGGGGGCTCTGAGCTCAGCGCCCTCAGCCACGTCGAGCAGTCGGGGACCGTCGCGGCGATTTTCTCGCTGCTCGGAACGCAGAAGAGTTGCAAGAGGCGAAGCCCCTCTCGCTTCCTTCTGCTCCTTGCGCCGCTTCCTAAGCTGTCAGGTTTCGGGGATCAAGTCAACGAATTTGCGGGCGCTCCCGCGTGTGGGAGAAGCGAGCTGGGTGAGGGCGGCGGGAAGAGTTTGAGCGCGAGAGAGTTGAGAAGTACCGTGACTTTCAGCTGTGAGCTGTCAGTTCGCCCCAGTGGGATGCCGGCTTCTTTTACCAGACCGCCGGGCTTGACTTTCCAAAGTGTTTGGGTTGTCAGGACAGCCTGTCCCTTTGGCCGTCAGAGTTAACTGCTGGGAAAATAGCTTTTGTTTGTTTGTTTGTGTCAGGAAGACAGATTAAGGAAATCGGTTTAACTTCTTCCCTCCCCCCCCCTTTTAACATCATCCCACAGGAGGGCTGGGTGGTAGGAAATCTCATATAAATCAGGTTTTGTTTTAAATGTTGCAGAAAGGAATTATTGGCGGAGATATTGCAATTCTGCAAATGGGGGGAGGGGGAGAAGGTTGCCACATTTGTTCATTTTCTAAGCTGGAAAACAACACTTTAGAGACGGGTCCTTAGAGGTGTGTGTGTGTGTGTGTGTGTGTGTGTGTAGAAAAATTGCCAAATGAATCTCTTAGCACTGTGGAAGCAGATCTGTTGTGATGCGCTCTAAGCTTTTGAGGGCAGCAAACCCCCACAGTCTTAAGTGTATTCATGTGGTGGAAGTTCAAAAGGATTTGCTGTTGCCTAAGTGTGCATCGGGTTGCATCTGTAACCAGATTCCTGGCATTGACTCTGGCAAGTGAAAGGTTAAACAGAATGAATCGTTAGTCTTGTTGTTTTACTTAGATATTTGCAACCTGATTGTAAGCACTTTTACTCAAAAGTGAATTCTATTTAGTTCCCTGAAACTTACTGCTTTATAAATCTAATTGGATATGCAGATTGAGTCATTTAACTACTCAGCATTCTTTGGGGGTGAATGGAAAGGCTAGTGACAATAATGAAGAGAAAAAAACCCTATTACATGAATATCCGGAAGGAAAAAAAAAAACAAGTAGCAATTTAAAAAGGTATCTGCCCAAGATCTGTATAGGAACTAGCAACATTATTCCATTCTTGGGGGCAGAATATTTATTTAAAGAAATTTTTGTGCCCTTGAATTGATAACAGTAAAACAGAGTGTAGTTTTAGACTTTTCTCAGATGTAAGATCTTTTGTTCAAAGGGAGTTACTTCTTTGCTGCATTAAACACTTCCAGAATACACCCAATAAACATTAAGCCAGACAAGCTGAATTTGTGTTTTTCGGGATATTTATGGTCATTTTACAGAGTACAAGCAAAATTGTAAAATAAAACTTCTTGAGAACTTGTTGGGTGCTATATTGTTCTAGTGGTTATAATTCAGTGCATATTTACTAGGAATTTACCCCATTAAATTCACTGAAATTTACTTACCCTGAGTAAATAAATGTAGTGAAAAAAAGGGATTTTGGATTGGTTTGAGGCTTTATTTTAGCTTGACTATTTTGTTCATTGCTTTCTAAGAATGAATAACTTTATGATGAAAAACATTAACTCTCCAGCGAAGTACTAAACTTCATAATTATGAGATGAAATATAATTTTATGGACCAAAGTGTTTAGGTTCAATAAATCCTTTTGCCAGTGATGCAGTTTGAAGCAAGACTATGGATGCATTGGGGAAAGTTTAATATATCTGCAGTCCTGCAGCTAATGTGAAGTCTAATCTCTATATTATTTCAGATGTTTAATAAATGAGGAATTGTGACCTGCAGAAGCCTGAGCCATATGCTTTTTTTAAAAAAAAAATAATTGTAGGCAATCTACATGAAGCATCAGGACAGATTTGTTTCTCTATCCTTAAATGTATCCTGAGTTTATATAATCTCATTCCATTTTGTATATATCTTCCTTTTTTTGAAGTGGTTCTATCCATGTTTTGCCTAGTCATCTGACTTGTACAGATTTTGATTAATTATGGTAATATTTATTTTTTGCAAATCAAGTTCAAGTCATGATCTGATGACAGCTCAGACTCTAATTTGCTTATTTCAGGTTAAGGTACAGGTTCTCATCTTTAATGACTGCATTGTTTATTGACCATTTGAAGTTATGATGATAGTGAAAAAATAATGTTATGACTACTCCCTATATCAGTGTTTCTCAACCTTGGCAACTTGAAGATATGTGGACTTCAACTCCTAGAATTCCACAGCCAGCAAAGCTGGTTGTGGAATTCTGGGAGTTGATGTCCACGCATCTTCAACTTGCGAAAGGTTGAGAAACACTGCCCTACATTTATGACCTCCACAGGTCTGTAAAGCAAAGGAATGCTAAAGTAAGATGATAAGCATGATCAAGATTTCACTTAGTGACTGCTTCACTTAACAACCAAATGTCCAATTGTGATTACTAAATGAGGACTACCTGCCTTGTATTAGACACAGTAATTCTGGTATCAAGGAACAACTATTTTACAAGAAGGAAGGAACGAGAAAACCCCACAATGTACTAATAGTCCTCGAAACACTGATCTTTAAACTAAGATCTTTATGTTAGTTAGATTTTTAGCTCATAGTAATTGATAATATTAATTTACAAAGCTGTGTCTACTCAGAAGTAATCCCATTTGAGTTCACTAAAACCTATTTCCAGATCAATGCATTCTAGAATACTATCTATTGACACTACTGAGTTTTGAAATAATCCTTTGAAATATGGCAGGGCAAGCAGTCAAATTGCCATTAATATTGCATCACTGTGCTTTTGTACTAATGATGCTTTTAAAGGTGGATTGTAAATATTAAGAGTAAATTTTAATCTTGGAAGTCTAAACTTTACCCTTACTATTTACAATCCAATTTATGCACAGAGAATTGTTAAAGAAGCATAATCTGTATGTATCTATCGATAAAACACAGCTCCTAATGGAATAATCTACTCCTTTTTCCTTTCTTACTTGTGCCCCAGATCAGGTTTAGAAAGCTGAGGAGCTGCTATGTCAGATTTAGGGTTCAAGTGAGAGATCCTGGAGGTGAATGGGCCAGAAACCTTGTTCAGTGAGTGAATTCTGCTCACATAATGTTGGATGTTTGAAAATTCTGACTTAGCTTTTATGTTAGCAACCAGGTACACTGAAGAATTATGCACACCTTATATTATTCCCATGTCTGTATTATTTTCTCTTGCCCTACACCACAGGGAGTATGTCAGATTTTCTAATGATTTAGTAAATGAGAGGGTTTTTTTTCTCTTTAAAAGACCAATTTCTCTTATGTCTTGCCTTATACATTACAATGACATCCATTTGAGTACTACCTTTTCCTATTAAGAAACTTATTTTTCAGTACAATTATTCTTATGAATATATATGACATCCCCAGCTATTTTATTTTTATTTATTTTGCTAATATTTGCTTGGCTTTTTTAGCCTACAAAAACCTAAACTGCAATTAAGAGTCAAAACATAGCAATAAAACCATAAATTGAAACAAAAACAATTCATAATCAAAAACCTTACAATTTAAAATGTCTCGTGATGACTTTTTTTTTTAAAAAAAAACCTCACTAAATCAGTCAATAAAGTAGGTTTGAAAGCTGGCAAAACTCTGTTAAGAAAAATGATACAAGGAAGGAACATCACTAACTCAAACTAGGTGGGTAGGTAGTGAATACAGTATTTCAGTCTTACATTTTTTTTTTACAGATCAAGTGAAAGGCAAAACTGCTTTATGATAGCGTTCTTACATTTGGTGTTTTAAGTTGCTGAAAAATTCACCTGAATTAGCTATAAAATGTAGATAATACCTATTGTATTTAAAAAAAACTGGTTATTTTTTAAAGAAAAACACTCTATAAAGAACAAAAGGTTAATATGTTTATTTAATTTTGCACTTTCCTCCACAATAATGAGGTTGATTTATTTTATCTCTATGAAACTTTGTATTTCTTAATATTGCATAATTGGTTTCAGTTCTCTCTTTTAATGACATGCAAAATAATGCATATATAAATGTCATTGGATAATTTGCAAACTGCTATATTTATTTTAGAACAAAACTACAGCCTCTCTGGATTGTGTGCATTTTATTGATTAGTGCAGGAAGGAGCTTCTAAACATCTATAGCTTTTTTGTTTTGTTTTTGTTTTAAATCTGGACTGAAACAGTCATTCTAGCGTATGCCATCCTGCTGCCTGACTTAATTGTCCAAATAAAGATTATATCACAGCACTAAAATATCACTGG